TAGCATGTGACAAATTCAAGACGTTATCAGTTTGTCAGGAGTCAATAGTTAACCACAGTTTTATCAGTATGAGCCAAGCTCGTTCACTCTCTTCGTCAGCTCTCATACATCAAATATGACCTTTTTTGCCTCACTTCAGACTCACCTCCTCTCCTCACCTCTGAACCCATCCAGCTAAAGCCAACTGTCAAGAGTTCCTCCCCTCTACTCACCAATCAGTCCCTGGTCCCTCTTTCACCGTCAGCTTTCTGTTACAGAAACTCCATGAATGGCCTCAGTTTCAGCCTCAGCCTGAAAGAACTAGTTGTGTTTACGAGAGGACAATGTTAGTCTGTTCACCTGCTGGTCAGTGTTCAATACTCCGACTGGGATAGCTGGAATAATTCAGAAGAAATTGGATATCATAAATATTCATTAGAAATTTAGATCACTAGTAAAGCTTGATGTAGCTGTTGTAACCCTTCTTGGATGGGATCAAAAATGAAGAAAGAGAGGAGAGCAGGAGCCCCTTAATTAATAAGGAGGAGGTGAAAAGAAAAATAAGATGTAAAAAATCAGGTGAATGCAAAACGTTTTGTAATTATTCCAAGCTTCATGTGTCCCTGAAATATTACGCTACATAGTCAGTGGGCACGGTAAGCAGCACTTTCTCTGGTGCACGTGTACATAGAAATTTAAAGGTTTCAGCTGGGAGACCTGCTGCCTGAATCGGTATCTCAGCAGTGCACTGAAATTATTTTTGGCCTTAGACACAAATATACAAACACGTGAACTAAGGTTCAATAAAAGTGTACCTAAAGTCTTGTGTCTGAGAGAAGTAGTTCAGAGGGTTCATTTAGGTGTCGTCTTTGCAAGTCAAACTTCTACATCTTGTGGTAAGCTTTTTCTAAATATAGCCATTTTAAACCCCCAAAATAAGACGACTTAGAGAAGAAATGAGCTTCAGTCTGATGACTAACAGGGAGGTATGCATACATTTATTTGCAGCTCCTACTACCAAAATACACCCACAGGTTCAATACAACTTTGTGCATCATTTAGTACACATTGCCCCCCAAATCCAGCAAAATGTATTATTTGGAAAAAAATTGTATTACCTCTAAAATCTTTCTGTAAATAAAAGGTTCAGCACGACGGCATTAAGTTGAAACCAACAAGGAAAAGGTGTTACTTTAAAATGCACAGCTGTTTCTCAAATGGCTGCTGGGATTCATTTTTTGCATAAAAAGCAGAGAAAATACAAGCTAATGAAATTCAATAAACTACAGATTTTGGAAGTAGTTCTCTGAACTTTGACTTTGTTGATAAACATTTTGGGAAGGCCTCACTGTAACGTTCCTCCTGAAACTGGATAGACCCAGATCTAACAGCACGACACCACCACTCTGCTGAAGGTCAGTTTCTCCATATCCCTGTGTCTGTGTGTGTGCCTGTGCGTCTACACTCTTATGTGTCTGTGTGCAGCACATAGAAAAAATCAAGACGTGTGAAGAAAATGAGGTGTTAATGGTTAACCCAGATAAATGAAACGATCTACAAGTAGGAGCGGTTTTAAATCTGCACAAATATCAGCTTTTTTCCATTCCAGACAGCATGATCAAAGCAACCTAATCTATTATCATTCTAAATACAATTAATCTGTTATTTCCCTATTTATTTGCATGATCTAAAACAGAAAAAATAACTACATTATTATTGTTAAAGTGCCAGAAGTCATCGAATCTCTAGACAATGATTATCAAAATATTTCCCCACTCACTGTATGGAAATAAACTGTTTCATAAACTAGTTGTTCTATAGTAGTTCTATACATGCATGCATGCATGCCTACATGAGCACTGCACTGGGGCTTGAGCTGCAAACATTTACAGTACTATATGTTGTGAGTCACTAACGGCACTAACAAATGTTCAAATGTGTGAAGCTTCCAAAAACCAGGACAGACAAAATTTGTGACATCCCAAAGCTAGGTCTTTGAGGACACAAATGCATGCTGTTACAAACATGTGCACACTCACACAAACACATGAGGTTGCAAACATGTACATGCAGTAAATGCATTTGCATGCTCAAGGTAAACCCTGAAAACCCTGAGAAAAATTATGTCAAAAGCAGAAGTATAGGCATATGCTCTCGCGCTTACGCGATCTGCAGTCTGCGGAAAATAAAAGCAAAAAAAATAAAAAAAAATAAAAACATGAACAAAAAAAAATGCTTGGGACAAACGGGAGTGAGTTAATGTGAATGTTTAGCCTGCTGCTATAATCATTACACAGGCAGATTTCCCTTTCATTCTCTTTCCCTGTTTTACTCAACCCAGCTAATTGTTGACTTTGTTATGCAATTTCCAAACAAACATGGGGCAATTTGGCATGAATTTGGTTCAAACTTAAAATCCTCCTGGACCTGCAACAGTGTAAAAAGAGCGACGCAGGGATCTCAGGCACTCTTCAGGCCTAAAGAGGGGTTCGCTGTTACAAAGTGCTTTGTGCTGCAGCTAGAACAGGGAACATGGCACCTGTGAAGAAGGTAAAATAAACCCTCTACACACTATGCTCCACTGTGTGTTGTTTTACACACCAAGTGCAATATGCAGTGCTGGTTAGTGGACTGTGGTGCTGTAAAGGAAATGTTGCCAGTGCATATTTCATGCATGTGTGAGCATGTGGTCTGTGAAATATCCAGACTGGAGCACTCAGTGCTGGAGAATCTCAAGCTAAAAATTGCTTTTTATCTTTACACCTTTGTACTTAAACAGTAATACTTACAGAATCATAAAATTGTCATTGCACACAGAGATAACTAATTTCTCAACCACAGTACATTATGTATGGAACCATCTTTGTGTGTTCTTTGTCATTATTTTTAAAAATGTAGAATAAGATACTCCACATCCATAAATGTACAAAAATCCATAGTCAAAATGATCCACCTAGCACAGGTTAAGCGTGTCCATGGATCCCTCTGTTTCCACAGGGCATCCTTGAACGTCTCAATGCTGGTGAGGTGGTGATTGGTGATGGAGGATTTGTGTTTGCTCTGGAGAAGCGGGGGTATGTGAAGGCCGGACCATGGACCCCCGAAGCTTCTGTACAGTACCCTGATGCAGGTAAGAACATACTACTGTACCAAAACTGCTACTCTGTTACATCTTCACATACAAGGCTGGTGGTGTGTCCCAAACTCCATCCTACCTGAGCTGCAAGAGTGAGACAGAAGTGAGGGCAATTTTCAAGAAACAGCTGGACGTGTTTGTGAGGAAGAATGTGGATTTCCTCATTGCTGAGGTGAGTCATGTCCGATTAAGTCTCATAAAACGGCAATTACTAGCAGCGCAAATAAAGCCTAACTCTTCTCTTGCTGTCGTTCCAGTACTTTGAGCATGTTGAGGAGGCAGAGTGGGCTGTGCAGGTGCTGAAGACTAGCGGAAAGCCTGTAGCTGCTTCTCTGTGCATTGGACCAAAGGGAGACATGCATGGTGTCTCACCTGGAGAGTGTGCAGTCAGGCTGGTGAAGGCTGGTACGCAAATTTATAGTCATATGTTTTCTTTTTCTTCCTTTTACTTAAAGGCAAAAATAATCAAA